CTGATGCGTGTGAATCACTCCTGGCTACTATCCTATGTATAATTTTTATAGTCCTAAATATGTTTATAATTTCATTATTTTATTTTTGTGTTACTCAATTAAAATTTTCCTTTACAACCACATTTCCTTGTGGGAAACATTTGATGACAGTTAAGACTACACCGCAAAAAAAATTATGCGCTAATATTTGTTTTTTGTGTTATAACAAATATGAATTGTAACTACAAGAATAGCAGCAATATTGAAGGGCAAATATTAAGGGCATTAATTTCCCCTTTATTTAGTACTGGGACTAAAACTATTTATAATCTATTACTATTATAAACCATTGAATATGACTTATTTTAAATGTATTTACAATTGGCGATCGAAATGGGCTGCAGGTGGCGTAGAGCAGAACTCTTTTCCTATGGCAACACTTTACATGCTTNATTCTATGCAGTTTTGTTATTGTAATTTGGGTTCAAATCTAAACATAATTGTACCATTGATAAGAGCTTTCAGAAATGTATTGATTCTCAGAGGTCGTAAGGCCAAAAGAATTTTGGAAAGTTAATATCACATTGTGAATAATTCTTAAGGTTTGCCATGTTTTGTATTTTATCCCTTATTTGGCTACATTTGAATAAATGTCGCCAAAAATATCTTTTTGAGATAGCCTAATTAGAAAATACTCTAATGATTATAATATTAATATGATAATGCTGAAGTTTAAAGGCTGAAAGAAAGAACTCGGTTTATGTGAAATACTGCAAAAAATATGATGCAATAATATGATGGCGCGTTTTTTCAATCTGCGGCGTAAAAATATATCGGAAGCAGTAACCCGGATGTCTTGAAAGAGCAATTTTACCACTAGCGCCACTACCCTTAGCTTTACACGATCACCCATCCATTATAAACCATTGAATATGACTTATTTTAAATGTATTTACTATATTGGCAATCATAACTTGGCCTTAGATTTCCATATTTTTATATGAATTTTATTTGAAATAAAAAAGACATTTTAAAATTAAAATTGCCTAATTATTTACCCAAACCGGTTCATAATTATGCTATACTCGTAATTAGAATTTATATAAATATCTTCATTGTGCTACAACCTGTGTACAAACCAATATCAGCATGAACATCTTGATGCTGAGTAGCATTGCATATCATACTTTGAACCATTGTCTTCTGGCGGTAGGTTTGCGATCCCCTGGAGGTTAATGAGGTGTTTAGAGGGGTTCGCGAAAGTGTAATTGCAATTGCGGAATTTTATATTACAAACTTTAAAAAATGAAACAATAAATAATGCGTAGAACCGTAGTCAGAAGATCAGGTATGGTAATTTGAAACTCATCAATCTTAAGCAGTTGGAACAATTATTTTCAACTTAAATGTATATATTTATTTATAATAAGAAAGACTTGCAAACTTTCCTTAACAAAACTTAAAATAAACATTATTGAATTTATTTTTTAAAAAAAATATCTTATTGGCTATCGAAATGAGCTACAGTTGGCGTAGAGCAGAATTCTCTACCTATGGCAGCATTTCACATTCTTTCACCCTTAGCTCGTGGAGAGTCATAGGAGAAGAAAGAACGCCAATTTCTCTCTTGATTTTGCAATAGATTAAAAGCTTTTTTAAGTTAGGAAATTATATGGAACTGAACACTATATTGAACATAGCTCCAAAAGAAAGCGTCACGGAAATTTTTAAGAATATTTCTGGCGAATTAAATACGAAAAATATTAAGAAAGCGGAAAACATCGTAGTACATTCATATACAACCAGTGGCGTGCCAGCCGGGGTGGCAGAGGGGGCAATCGCCCCCTCTGAAATTTTAGTGAGGGGGCAAACAATATATTTCGCCCCTCCTGAAATTTAAACATTCGAGAAAATAAAATCAAGTAAAATTCCGAGTAAAAANAATAATACAAACTTTAAAATATTAAATCAAGCAAAGCTTATGACTTTGCATTGGCTCGCCCCCCCAGTCAAAAAAAAGTTGGCACGCCACTGTATACAACTGAGAACAGGAGGAGAGGCAAAAGGGGAGGGTCAAGACAAAGAATCGGTCTTCTCCCCAGATGGCGTACATGAGCGTTGCGATCGCGTATAGATCAAAGATTTAACTCAAAATTGAAGTTGACTTATACTTCATTTCTATATTGGGAAATCTCTACATGTTAACAATTAATTATTATTTCCCCAGATCACAGCAAAAAACAAATTTTGTGTAAGTAAATTAAGTTATTTAATAGCATATTTTTGACTGCTGCAAAATTCTACGCGTTAAACATGTAAAAAAATTGAAAAGTTTCTCAGAGAAAATAATTTATGAAATTAAACAATAAATTTGGCAGAAAATATTAATCAAAATTGAATTGATCTAATCAGCGAAATTACTTGTCGATTAAAAAATTGTCTTAGTGAAATGAGTTATCAGTAAAACAACTGTTTCGGCAAAATGAGTTGTGGACGAAGCGATTGTTAGCAAAAATAATAGTTTCGGTGAAATTAATTACTGGCGAAGTGCCTTCTGTGATTTGATCTGCTGGAGAAGTGATTATCACTGAAAAGAACACGGTCTCTGAGGATTAACTGTGGGCCTAAGCTTGACTGTAGCCTCTATTATGAGGTACTTTATTTACTCCGCGCTAGAGTTGCCCATTTCGCTATTGGCGACGGTCGGGGAAACATCCCTAAGGATGATCCAGAGACATGCCATCACAATTATATGAGGATAGTTTTTCAGTTTAGACATAGATCTGAAGAGGAAGGAAACTTTCTGCATATCCCTGTACCCATGGTAATGTGCAACAACCAACCACAGGACTTTAAATTCCACAGATTTTATGAACACGCAATATAGCACGTACTCGGTGGGTCTTAGCGGAATCGAGATTCGCAGTCCAATTCTCGAGCCACTGGGCGACCACGGCTCATAAGATAATATGAAAAAGAGAACATTAGTTTTTTACTTATATTGTGTCCAAGTTAAATATTTTTTGTGTAGAATAATGTAGTTAAAAATAAACTATTAAAAGTATGATATTTGCAACCTCGTTAATCTGTTTCGTTCGAAGAAGTCTTATTTTCTTTTCTTATAAATTTTTAAATGATTGCTGTAAAATTGCGTTTCTGAAACTTTTATTCTAGTATCTTGTTTCGTTTTTACCATTCTATCGTACAGTCTGTTTAATAGCGGACTCAACAGGTGCAAAAAAACTGCGTAAGCAGTTAAATTACTGAGCGATAGCCAGGAGAGGGTGTAACACCTAACATATTTAAAATAAACTATGGATGGTTGACTGAATGTAAACAATAACAAGCTTTCTTCAACAGGAAGAACTTCCGGCGTATCCCTCCGCTTATGCTATGCTTACAAGGCGATGCGTGGACAGGATTAATATCCATAAGTTTTATCAATGGGATTTATATTTAAATTTACACGTACTTTTACCATTCATAAGAGTTTCCTGTAATTTATAAATTCTCATTGGCTGTGAGCTTAAAACAAATGCAAGAAAATTAATATCACAACATAAATAAGGTGTAAGGTTTTCTATGGTTTGAGTGATATCCTTTATTTGGCTATAATTGTATAAAATATCACCGTTGGTTATTTCTTGGATTTCATCTTGCAGCGCATAGCATGCTTGCGGAATCTGCCAAATTCATATGTTTGTTTCGTTGAAATTCAGATTGAAACAGCGTGCTATATTCGCGATCGCAACACTCGAATACGCCATCTGGGGAGAGACCGGTTTCATGCCTTTAGCTCTTCTCCCTTCCCTCTCCTCCTCTTTTCAGTTGTATAGGAATGTACTACGATAATTTCCCTTTTCTTAATATTTTTCCTTTTTATTTAATAAAAATATTTTTTAAAATTTCTATGATACTTTTCTTTAGAACTAAGTTTAATGTAGTTTTCAGTTCCATATAGTTTTTCAAGTTAAAAGATTTTAATCTATGTGAAAATCAAGAGAGAAACTAACATACTTCCTTGCTCAATGACTTTCCACACGCTAATGGGGAAAGCATGTGAAGTGTTGTCATAGGAAAAGAGTACTGCTCTACGCCACCTGCAACCCATTTCGATCGCCAATTGTAAACTCTACAAGCATTGGCGATCGAAATGGGTTGCAGGTGGCGCATTGGAGCGTTGCGATCGCCAATAATAATAATATTTGATGCCACCCTTTTTCAAGCTTAGGTCTAAAAATTAATCGGAAATAGTATCCCAGAACTTTTACACAACGAATTTTAATCCGTAGCGCCACCTGTGCTAAGCTTTACCCGGTCAGCCACCCATAAAACTGAGAAGAGGAAGAGAAAGAAGGGGGAAGGATTAGTACATGGAATGGTCTTCTCCCCAGATGGCGTATTTGAGCGTTGTGATCTAGAAATGCTTCAAAACTTCGCGTAAGAGACTGCTCTCACTGCATGCAATTCACCTGACTCCGATGCAAGATTATCTCACTAAATCTTTTTACTACTGTTACTACTACTTTTACGTTCTATCCTCCCTGCTTACTACTTTACCGCTTATTCGATGCCCTTTCACTACGTGCGACAAAAAATCGCATATGCGAATTTTTAAGTCCAAGGGAGAATCTTATTCGTGAATTTGATATGGATAATTATAATTTACTAATCGGGTTCTCATTCACATACCCAAATTTTAGGCATGCAAGGAAACCGGTTCCTACAAACATCTGACTTCAAATCTGCGTTATCCGGCAAATTTGAATTGTTTTAAAGTTTTAATATCTGTCTTCTTAATCAAATGTGAGAATTTTCTAAAATTTTTACGCCTATTCTTTTACATGCTTTCAATTTTAAGAAAATCCTGTAGTGGAAAAAGTCATAAAGAAATTTTAAAAAGTCTATCATGCAAAGACCCACCCTTTCGTGTGCTTGTGGTGTCGCTCCCAACAACGAGCTTTATTCTATTAGTATCATTTATAGTGTATTGAGGTTTACAAAAATAAGCAGTCGTAATCTTATTCCTGGAAGTAAATAAAATTTTCAAGTTTGTGTCTAGGTTGTTGTTATTGGGTAGGGACTAAGTTATACAGTTAATTACTTTTTTTTTATTTCCGCGTAACAATGGCTTCAAAGTTGTTTTCATCTATGATTAATCATCTGAAAAGCAAAGAATTCCGGACTTATCTATCCAGGTAAGAAATTAAGATAAATTGGCTTTGAGGATTTAGATCGAGTTGTTTATGTTGTGGAACTTGCATGTCCTAACTAAGCAGTTGTTTAATTTTGAAATCGTTTGTTATTACTGAATAATAATATATTCGGCAATTTATATTAAAGTAATGTACCTGTAAAAATTTATATTCGCTTGGAAAAAATTCTTAATATTTGGGATCCTGATTAGAAGGAAAATTACTATTTGGGTATCTTGTAATTAAGTGAATTTGTAAATTATTATTTAGTAATTTTAAACGAATTCGAAGTTTTTTTGACCACGTAAAGCTGCTCCTAGGTTGTAAAATTTTGAGCATGTTGACCTATATTTTTTTGAAACTGATAAATGTTTCTTAAAACTTTAAGCAGATAAATAGTTATTCTTTACTTATGAAAATTTGAATTGAAAGTGGGTTTCAGTCTGTTTTAATTTTTTTTGTATTTTTATTGTGATTTGTTTTAAGTTATTTAAATGCAATTATTTGTGAATCAAAATAGAGCTTTTAAACATTTACTTCATTTCGCTTTGCATTTTGTATTAATTAAAATCTTGTCTTTATTCGACATAGCTTCTGGATTTACTAAACAGCTGTTAGTTCAAAAGAATTTTACATGGTTTATCTACAAATACTTACAAGTTACCTACAAATCCTATTCAAATTTGAATAACTTTAAGTCAACAGGAAAATTCTCACTATCAGGGGTCTGTCCAGAACAAATTTACTATCGTTAGCGGCACCTTCACAAAAATCAACTTTAGGAACAAAATGCTTTTGAAAAAGTAATTTCTAAGTTTTTCCTCCCTCCCTCTTAAAATGTTGTTTTTGTATCCCCCTAAGAAATGATAAATACCGGGTTAATTTCGCATATATGAGTAACATGTGCTTGGTCAGTTAGTGCTGTATAGTAAGCCTAACCTGTTGCTTACATTGTATAGCGAGATTTTGTTTCGCCGAGTTTTTTATTTTTAAAATTAAACGACAAGGCGCTCCCTCTATAAATTTTATAGGGAATTGAAATTCCAGCATTATTCTGAACATTCGAACATTGTTCTAACTTTATTCTAACAGACCTTTATTTTTTTATAAAAATTTTTTTTCTTTGTGAAACTTTTTTCTTTATGACCCCGTGAGAAATGCTCTCATAATGAAAATAATTTTAAGTGTAAGTACTGTTAAATGCATGCTTTTTTTTTTAAAAATTTAAATTCAAGTTGAAATTTAGCAATGGACAATGACTTTTATGGATTTTTATATTAAGATACAATTTTAAGCCCAAAATTTTACAATAGCAAAATTATTTTTGAATATATGGGAAAAAATATATAAATATTTACCAGTCACTTTTTATTTGTAATGACAATTTTTGAAAATATCTTCGTACTTTACCATATTTTTGTGTTGATTTTTTAATGTAATTTTTAATTTTCACAAAATAGGTACCTTTCATAAAAACTTAGACAGACCCCTTATTATGTAAAATTAAGTGTTAAATGGATATTTTAAAATTGAAATGATTTATTGTATGATTTTTCTTTACGGCTTTACTGATATAGAAAGCTAAAAGAACCTGAGATATTTTTTAAAAAAACAATAGCTAGGTATTTTTTTCATGAAACTTTTGAATATGGTGTTGTTACTTCATGTTTTTACGTTTTCTTCGTGTTTTAAAAATATCAAATAATGTGTTATTAATTTAATAGATCTCACTAATTAATATATATTTTTTTATATGTTGCCATGTTGATTTCCTCTTCTGATTTCCTCATCATAGTACTGTAAGTATATATATATTATTATACTTTCCCAGGGATACACAACCTATGGATTGCAGACTGGAAGTGACCCACAAAGACTTTTGGTCTGGCTCCTGAATTATCTTAGATATTAATAAAAATATGAGCGAGAGAAGAAGTGTTAAAAACATCTTTTCAGTCATGTTCTGTAACAGTAAGGTACTGAATAAGTTTAACCTTCCTCAGAGTATATTCCTCAGATTGTAATGAATTACAATCAGAACTATAACATTCTGATACTGTATCAGTGCCATATTTTTTTTTCTGAGTAGTTATGAAAGTTAACTTATGGGGATAATGACTTTTTTTCTTTCTTAATACCTATAAATTTGTTGTTATAATCTTATTATTCATTGTTAAGCAACCGATGTTGTTATTTACTGCTTTATAATTCTGTAACTATATCTGTCTAGCTTTATTTACATTAAATATTTTTATTTAACTTTACTATTTGCACCTGAGTAATTAAATAAAATCAAAAAAAGAAATCTATGAATTTGTTTTAGTTCAGAATAGGGTCTAAAACTCCCTTCAATTTTATAATTAAAGCTTTTTATTAATGTTGGCTTTCAACTCGTTATTTTCTAGTTTTTGTGGCCTGCTGTATAAAAATGGTTGTGTAGTCCTGATCTTTATTATCTTAATTAATTATTTATTTCAAAAGAAGATAAATTATTTTAAATTTTTTCTTGTGCATAATTTTTATTATTTTTTATTTTACAGCACTTCTGGGGACCTGGTAAGAATTTATTTTGTTATTACAATTATAAATGATTTCATATTTGCTAATTCATGATTTTTGAATCTTTATAAAATAAACTCTCACTGTAACAAGCAGTTATATTAAGAACAACTATAACAATTAAAGTGGATGAAATCACTTGTACTTAAGTTAAGGTTCATGGACATGTTTTTAATAATTATCCTTTCCATTTTTATTCAAATTAAATTGTTAAGTATGACTTAATAAGCCCCTTCTTACGGGCGGTCAGATAAATACCATATTGAAACAAAATCTTATTATTCTCTTATGAAAGTTTTCTCTAAAGAGATTCAGCTTAAGTTGTGGGGAAAGTAGTTTCGACAATGATAATTTTCATCTATTAAAAGGTATCTCAAGATTGAATCAAGTTAGCATGTCTTATATATTAGTGAGTTGATGTTTAATAATCTTAGTGGTAGTTACACCATAATAGATCCCTACCAGAATTTTATCAGAGATATAATTCGATGGTCGATTACCACTAGTTGACTGATTTGCGAAAAGCCAGGAGATCTGTGTTAAGTTCACTACAATTTGAGCATTTGTGGTGAAAGCTGTATTAAGTTCATGGTTGTGTGCGTAGTTTCTCCTGTGTTGCTATTAGCAGTCGAGTGTGTGTAATTAGATTGAGAAGTAACAGTGTGAGGAAGACGACGACACGGTCACAAACAGCAAGTCAACTGTTTCATGTGGACCATCCATATATACTAGTGAATTGATGTTTAATAATCATAGTGGTAGTTATGTCGGAAAGTGATATATTTCTTTAAAGTTATTCACCATAATATGCATTTAGTACTCTTGATTAGACTGTAAAACAGGTTAAACCTCATTATCATATTCTAGGTAATTGATTAGAAAGAAAAACAGATGTGGGAAGGCCTTAACTCATGAATATTCTAAGATATTTGAAGGTTTTCTCTAACTTCAACTGTATTTTTTTTCATTGTTTTATGACTAAATATCTCTGAATATCCTTAGTTTTTACAGCAAATTACATGCAATAATAAAGAGAAGAAAATGGTTGATATACGGAAACTCTTTTAATAAGTATTAATTTAAAATTTTAAGTATTTGCATAGAGCACAATTTATGATTAACTACTTAAAGCATGGAGGCATGGCCGGATTAACCTATAGGCACACTAGGCACGTGCCTAGGGCCTACGAAATTCAGGGGCCTACGAAGAACTTGGGAGAAAAAAATTTATTGACCAAAATAATTTAGCTTTAAAAACAACANGGAGGCTCTATTCTTCTCCCTACCTCTAGCCCTGACATCCTCAGCTGCACTACATTGAACTATTAAATTACGTTATAATAATAGTTTCCAGACAAATTACACAGGGAAGAGATTCTACCGCTGATTTCCGCTTTTTTTCAGATTTTTCCATTTTTCCCGCTAATTTCCGCTGAAATTTTTTTTGCACAAGTTAAAATGTTTTATGAGGAATTTAATTTTCCGCGGAGGAAAATTATTGAAATCCCTTTTCCTCCCTCTGAAGTTTCTCTAAAAATCATTTCCTTGGGATAAAACTGGTTGACCTTTATACAGGGATGAGATTTTTTTTTGTCTCTCGAATTTCAGCCTTTTTATCAAAAACTCCGATTCTCTAAAAGTTTTGTTTTTTTAAAATAAATATCCCGTTTTTTTTATTAAAATTCAGTCATTGAAGTAAAATAATTATATTTATTTACGATTTTCGAAGATAAACGGAAAATTCAATCTACACCCTAGCTGCTAATTCTTCCGCATTTTTACTTATTTTAGCTATTTTCTCCGATTTCATGCACAGAAAATAAGATTTTCCGTATTTTTTATCCGTCGGCTGGATAGCTCGTATTTTCGTAACTCAGACGTCGCTGCTTATTGTATTCTGGCGTGAAAAAAAAAATAGAGGTGGATTTGTGGTGAAAATATTTATTTGCTCATTCAATTAATCTTGTAAATTTTTATTTATTGTGTATAAACAAAAACAGTACAA